TTGTAGTAGAAATATTAATATAAGCATTAAGATATTTGGTGGCAAAAGTGTTTTCAAACAATGACACATATCATAATCAATAATTTTATTGATCGTGAACTTCATGGCAATATACCACTTACTTGTATATGGAAAAGGAATGCAAGGAGTTGTTGGTTTTGAAGGCAAAGTTTCTAATAAATCAGTATTTGAGATTCTTCTTGAGTTTAAGAATTTGTGAGTGTTTTGTACTGGTTAAATGGTTCACATTTTTCAAATGTATTTATTTATTTCAAATGGCAGGCGTTTTGATAGATACCATTAGCCATTTAGCTGACTTCGGGTTTCACAGAGGGAAGGTTCATCAAAGTAGCAGAAAGTCGAGGGGTGGGGAACAGAAGAGCGATTCACAGATGTAAAAGAGGCAGACAGACACAAAAGTAAAGAAAAAAGTAAGGTGAATACTGTGAAAGGGGTCGAATATAACAACCAGTGGGGTCATGGTAGTTTGAAGTGAGAAGTCAACTGCCGGTTAATAGACTTTTTTGCCATATGAGTATACGTTTGCCCAGGGTGCACCACGTGGAGGTAAGTCTATCGCACACCCCCATTTTTCAAATATGAATGTATTTATTTGTCTAGAATTCACATACTCCTTATTTTGGCGCAACAGATAAAATTTATCAAATAAAAAGCAAAGTATGGTCACTTTTGACTAAGCTAAAAATAGCAGGACAGTAGAGTTTGGGGAGCGTATCAACTTTGTGCAGCTTAATCCTTGAGGAACTGCCCTCGGCGAACCTAGTCTTACCTTGATCTCGGCTGTACTTGAGTGGCAATAGAAGAGACGAGCTCTGTTCATAACATCGAATTTGTGTTCCTTCACATTTGCAGACTAAGGCAAACATCCTTCAACTCTGCGTGTCCGAACATGTCTCCTTGTGCGATCGATAAACCACTTGGAAGACGAGCATCCTACCGCTCAATTTGTACCCTACAGTATGAGCAAGACTCATCGCTCTTGCCTTCTACCAGATCTTTGCTCTCTAAGTTCAGGGGTGAAATGTTGCGGTAGATCACTTTGAGTTTGATTAGAAATTGTTACATCTAACCGTTCCTAATCACTTTATCTCACATATGTGGTGAGTGTCTTTATATGAAAATGAGCAATGATTACGAAAATTATCAACTAAAGGAGTATTCTCAACCCGCGTTTATACTGCTGAACTGAGTGAGGTGAAATTTTGCAACTATTAACTTTCATTTATATATATTTTTTGTAAATTTCCTCATGACATGTGTAATTTATTCTTCCCTGACTGTATTTACTTAGATGCTTTTCGCGTTAAACAAAATCTTTAAAATGTGGAAGGAAACGCAAAGGTCTGCGTCAAGCCAACAAAGAGTTTAAACTCCTCTTCAGTTTGGGACCCAAGTCATATAGTATGTGCTAAATGAGTAGTCTGTATTCCACGATTCAAATTTACGATCACGGCAAATGCCTCAAATTGGTATTTTAGGACTTTCGGGTGGGTATTATTCAATCAATGTCGATCTTGTCACTTCAATTTATCTTTTCTTCCAATGGTTGACAGCACAGGATTTTCTTGCGTGCAGTTCGTCAGCCGAGAATAGACAGGCAATACCTTCAAGGTATTGAATCACAAAGAAAAAATACTTACTATTCACGCATTCAGTATTAACTTTCGCCAAAATGTGGCTAGATAAATTTCAGACGGGTTCTTGCTGTCATAATGATCAAATAGCCTCATCATGTCCCCCCTTTACTTTTTTAAGATTAGATCAAAAGGTGTCAAAACTCATTAAGCAAAAGATGAGCTTCACTATGTCATATTCTATGTTTTGACACAACTGGTTACAGAAAAAAAAACATTTTAAGTCATCATTCTCTATTTACCTGCAAAAAATGTGTACATACATATTGTAACGCACGATTTCAATATTGAGCACAGTGGAATGAGGATATGAGGGTGTGTGGGGAGGGGAGGGGAAATAGAGAGACAAATTACAGAGGACAAGGGTCTAATTAAATACATTCTAAAGTGTGGGGGAGGGGGGGAGGGAGGGGGAGGGGAGGAATGAGACAACTTCTATACGGAGCTTATTTTCTCTTCATCTAACCTCTTACTGGCAGCCGAAATAATGTCATATGGTCGCCTAGACGGTGGCATATGCCGTGTATTGCGATCACGAACTCCACCTGATGGAATCCTACCATCTGCAATATCATGGGGTTTCACTTGTTGCCACAAGTCGACCATAGAGCCAGTTTCATTATTGGAAACCCGTCCATTTTGGAAGGAAGTTGGACTGGTCATGAGTTGGGAGGCTTGATTGTGATAGACGTAGGCGTTAGCTGAATCAGTGTCATCTTCCTCACAGTCTGGAGCGTTAATTGAGAGTTCACTAGGAGTTGGGCGACTAGAGTAGCACCTTTCATTGCCAAATGCAGTATCAGAAATATCTGTTCCATCTGGACTATTGTCATTCTGTAAATCCTCCTCTTCCTCACAAAGACAAGCGGGAACTGAAGGAATACTAACCGCCAAGTTATCAAGTAGAAGTGGCATAGGTGAGACAAGTGCTTGATAGATGGGTTGCTTAGTTACTCCAGGGGTACCTTCAATGTTTGTTTGATCCGCTGGAGCTGTTTGAGATCGTGCAATAACGATCGGTTCCGCAAAATCCTTGGAATCACGTCGTGGAATCAGGACATTAACAGTAGTTGGTTCTTTGGGTGGCATCAGAAGGGGCCATTTGGAAACTTCCATCGCATCTTCAAATCAGAGGAATAAATTAAAGTTTTTTTTGCTTTTATAAATGAACATTTATGACTAAACGTAAGCGTACGGTAGGGGGGGGGGGGGTTGGTTAATCCTAACTTTCTCAAATGCAGGTTTTCCTCTAAATGCCACAAAAATAAATTTATATTACAAAATGTTTGTAATTTTATTTCTCAAAGTGGATCGAAAGAAATTGAAATTATAAAATAAAACAGTCTAAAAATTAAAAGTAAACTTCTGAATAGGTAAGTACAAACTAAGGAAGAAATCAAATAAAATAAAATGAAAATTTGTCAGGGCGATTTAATTTATCTATTTTCCCTATTTTCAAAAATACTTGATTGTCTTACAATGGAAATACAATAATTGCAGATTGGTCTAAAAGCAAATGTGGGCCTAGATTTGAAATGTCATCCATGGTGTCTCTGCGATCATGGATTCGACGCTTTCAGATATACGCTCTCTGATTGGAATAAACCACCACTCTGGGGTACTAGAATTCCCGTATCTTGTCAGAGAGCCACATCTCCCCAAGTTGGAGATTCAAGAAAATGCATTCCTTAATGAGTCTAAAAGCTGCAAACCTGTTATTTTTTATTTAAATATCGACGTGTTTTGGCGCATTCAAACAAAAATTAAACAATGATGTAAAATTTTTAAATTTATAAATGAAAATGGCTATTGCAAGGTAGTAAATGCCTTTTACTACCGAACCAGATGACAAAAAAATCAATACAGTAGCCCAAAGAATGAAGTTCGCCATTTTACGCATTGTCTTATTAGACCGCAGGATTCAGGAAAGTCAACGCATTTTGTGGAAAAGGTTTTCTTTTTATTTTTATTTTCTTAGTATTCTTTTGGCGACGCTTTCACTCTTCTATTGTTAAATCCACAAGGACTATTATGGAAAAATTATATAGCAGAAATTATGACGAGGCAAATACCCATTTTAATTCTGGCCTTTTGGGAATAGCTGTTGTTTCCCAATGCAGAATTTTTAATGAACAGAAAAGACCCCCGAAATTTTAAAAAGGGTGCATTAATTCACTGAGAGTCTAACGACTGGAATGCTAGAGTAGAAATTGTGGAAAAAAACACCTAGACCATAAAACTCACCTGAATTCTTTTTAATGCCATATTCATTCGATAGCTTATTTTATTATCATCATTATTATTCTTATTGTTAAGCAGTTCGTGAATCGCGTCTCGATGCGCCAATTTCAAATTTCCTGCATTTAGACCTCCTCCCTAGCTTGTTGAGCGATTTCGTGCTCATGAAGTCAAGAACAGTTTGATCAGCTCAAGAGCCCTTGACCCATCCATGGCTTCATTTTGAAATTTGCAACACGAAGAAGCCAGTTGGCGAAATATGCACCTGGTGGTATAGTTTCCTCCGCTAATACCTCTCATTTCTCATAGACTGTTGTGTAAACACAACGATCAGTAGACAAGAGCTTTCTTTTAGTTCTTTTATTCTACAACCATTTCGCCGTTCGTTTCCATGCACTTCCAATCACTGGTTCTTGAAGGAATATTGCTTCTAAACATTGATGATAATACTGTGACTATTCGTTCAAAAGCTGTGGCTTACGTATTCGGGGTGGGGCGAAAGACTTGCCTCCACGTGGTGCACCCTGGGCAGCGTATACTCATACGGGGTCTATTAACTGGCAGTTGACTTCTGACTTCAAATAAAAGTCTATCAATCGGCAGTTGACTTCTCACTTCAAACTAAAGTCTATTACCTGGCAGTTGACTTCAAACTACCATGAGTAAGTCTATTAACTGGCAGTTGACTTCTGAGTTCAAACTATCATGACCCCAAGTCTATTAATCGGCAGTTGACTTCTGACTTCAATTACCATGATCTATTAACTGGCAGTTGACTTCTCTATGTCATATTCGGGTCTATAAACCGGAAGTTGACTTCTCACTTCAAACTACCATTACCCCATTGTATGTCATATTCGACTACTGTATGTCATATTCGACTACTTCCACAGTACTCACCTCATTGTATGTCATATTCGACTACTTTCACAGTACTCACCTCAACCGTATGTCATATTCGACCCCTTCCACAGTACTCATCTTACCTCGACTATTTGTCATATTTGACCCCTTTCACAGTACTCATCTTACCTTGTCATATTCGACTACTTTCACAGTACTCACCTCACCTTCTGTAACACTCTGCCTTTGTGTCTCTCTCTTTTACATCTATGAAACACTCTTCTGTTCCCCCCCCTGCCTTTGTGCCTGTCTCTTTTACATCTTTGAATCACTCACTTTTTTGTCTGTTCTTTTACATCTTTGAAATTCTCTTCCATTTTCATCTTTGAAACGCTCTTCTGTTCCCCACCTCTCGACTTTTTTCACCTTGATGTTCCTCCTTCCCTCTTTGAAGCCTGAGGTCAACTAAAGGGCTAATGATAACCATCAAAACAACTGCCATTTGGTATAAATAAATAAGCTTACATATTCTGGTGAATTGGAAGACTGACATTCATATGCATACCAAAAACTTTCTTCCCATTTAGATGAATTGCGTGGAATTTGGAGCAATTGCATGAAAGTTCGCATTTAGTAGCAACGAAAAGAACGGTTGTATGACACATTTCTTCATTATACGTTATGTTAGCTTGCGATAAGGAACTGATTACTTGGAAGCGTTCCCAACCGTTTCAACCCTTCAAAACTCTTTCCATTTTCTTATGAAGCACAAAGCAAACATGAATTTGAATAAATGGTCTTTTTCATGTTCATCACGCTTCTTATTATCACTGTTATTAAAATTATTCATTCTTAAATAAAGATTAATTATGGACAAGAAAATCGTCATGAGGGTCATCAGTTCAGTTACGAAGGCGCCATTCGACATCCACTTCCTTGTCTCACTTATTGAATCGACATTGCATCGACATTTGAAAGCAACTCTTCAATTCTACTGAGAAAAGTGAAGTTTTTTTTAATCTCCTAAAATTGATTGGATTTGGGATTTACCTTCTATCTACATCAAGCTGATAAGAATTAGCTACTGTGATCGGCCAACCACATCACTGGCTAAATGTCCTGTGAGAATCAATCTAATGGCAACTGACTTGACAGATTGGCATATTCACTCCCATCACTAGAATAAGAATGTGCAACAACAAGCAAACTGCGACTGAGGAGATACTAAGCTAAAGACGGTTTTATTCGTCGAGTAACTACATCCTTCCCCCCTCCTCCACCCTTCTGTGATAACTAGATACGTCGTTTCCTGGCATTGTGACAACTGGAGTCGAAAAACTCTTTTTTTCCACTGAGACTATGAGCCAAATATAAGCAAAGAATTTTCTCCAGTTCTTACCTTGTCCACTCCTGGAATCATGGGTTGCCGAGGTGGCCTTCAAGGTGCTGGAGGGTTGAGTTGATTGTGTTACCATGGCATTTGTGATCACACAGTCCGTTCCCATACTGGAACTCTGCCGAGCATAACTCTCTGGAGGCGACTTGCAGGTAGCTACATTCGTGGAAAAGAAAGCGTAATTAGCAATTACCTCCCGCGCCTTGTTGCGCATCAAGCAGAAACAGTGTGGAAACAGTGCATGACTTCTAGCCAGTGGGTGAGAAAAAGAGCTCAAACGCTAAACTCTTTATTTTTCAGCAGCCATACTATTCACGCAGCAAACGCGACAAATGCAAATGTGGCTTTCAACACAAACAGAGCGGGCGATTGGCATGCAATTAACTCAATGAAAACGTACATGTTGCTTCTAATGGAAGAGAAGAAAGAAAGAGGCAGATGATAGAATAAATGCGTTTAAATTAAAATTAGTTAGCCCCTTAGTTATGGGAATAACAGAGTAATTTAAAATTTCAACCTCAAAAAGTTGAAAACATTCACTTTTAAAAAAATATGACACCTTATCGGGTAGAAATTGACGTTAGGGCAGTAGTCATTCTAAGTAAACGGTAGTAACGAAAGTTCAGATCGATACATGATTTGTCAAGACCTACTATTAAAACCCACTACCATAACTTATGACTTATTAATGACATGACAAGTGGATTCTGGTAAGCGAATAATTATACTTTTTGAATAAAGCTTATGGAAGAAAAGATAAATTCAAGTGTTATTTTTCTTCAAAAGTTTAAAAATGCGGTGCGATTTTGACTAACCTCTACATTGTGCAGCCTTGGTAACGAATACTAATACGTCAAAATGTCTATAAACCGGCAGTTGACTTCTGGCTTCAAACTGCCATGACCCGACGGTATGCCATATTCGACCACTTCTCTACCCATGTGTCTGTCTCTTTTTCATCTATGAGTCACTCTTCTCTCCCGTCCCCCTCGACTTTTAAATGATTTTGATGTTCCTGCCCTCTGTGAAGCCCGATGTTGACTGAAAGGCTATTGATAACTATCGCAATGCCTGTCATTTGATATAAACAAACACTTTAAACTTAATTTTAGTTCAGCTATCAATAACCTATTATCTCATAATTGCCCAAAATTTTGCTCTACGTAAATTTCACGAATAGTCAGATTTTTCGTACGGGAAATTGGAATGAACAAAATGTTTCGAATTATATGGTATACACCATTGTGTTCACGGAATTATAATTGGTCGATTAGTGCTATAATTGGCTACTTTATTTCAATTAGATTTTATCCAATAGAAATTAATGAATTATTAATGACCCACCTTCTCCTTTCTCAAGACATTTAAGACAGTCAAAAGAAACAACCGAGAAAATTTAAACAAAATAATAAATTAATTAATTTCAACAATTGAAAAAAAACTTCCCAAGTAGTCCCAATTATCAATTCACGCTTTAAACCGCTCTTGAACTAAGTTCCCAAATGAAGACTTTTCATGAATCTCGTCCTTTTTAAATTATTACAATCAAATTCAAGGAGCCCAAATTTATTAGCTAATTTCTCTTTTTCTGAAATTGATTTTGCTTTCAAAGCTCATTGAACCTACCATATCGACTCCTACTTC